CAAGGTAGAAACCCAAGAAAAATCATGAAGGGCTTCAATAAAAACAAAAAATAACACGATATCTAGGGACATGCTTGAATTACTCTTCTGAGGAAAGTGGCTAGAAAAGCTCAGCGAGAGGCTGAGCGTAGCCAGAAACAAATAAAAAAATTAAAAAGGTTTTAAGAAGCGTCTAGTGACTCATCTGACTCAGAAGATATATTCTTCGTATTAACGGATAATGATTAACGTGTTAATAAAGAAGAAAAATCTTTATATTGTTGTTCTTCAAAATTTAGTGACAAGACTTGGGAACAGTTTTGCAAAGGCACTTTTTGTGGTCACTGGGTACATTTTTTATGTGTGTTTGATATTCGTAACAATGAGTCAAATGAACATTTGTTAACCCTCCGTTAGTCCGCTAGAAAAAACTGAGCATCCAAAAGTCGCTACGGTGTCTGAGACCGACAATTAAAAAAGATTGTTTTTAATATAAAATTCATACAAATATTTTATATTGTCTATAGAAATAACTAAGAAATATTTATGAAAATATTTTATTGAAAAAAAAAACAGATACAAAATGAAAACACTAGTATAACAATATATTGTGAATATTGTTCTGAAGCTATTTTCTTGAGGCATTTTAAAGTAATTACTGTTTAAATGGGAATAAGCCACAATTAAAGGTTAAAGTTACGTTTTATTGATGTTTTAATTTTCACATCGTATAGTGTTCTCAAAATACCAAACATTAGTTTATATTACGTACTATATAATTTTCTTGTCTTGTTCTAACCTTTTACGGTGGAATAGCCTTTTTTAGGTGGAATAAATTGTACAGACAATTAAGAGGCGGAAACTTGAAATATTTCGGTCATATATTAAAGAGGTCCTCGTTATGGGCTACTACGTTTGATTATAGAGGGCAAAATAAAAGGTAAAAGAGATGTAGGAAGAAGACGAACCTCCTGGCTTACGAAATCTAAGGGAATGGTTTAGAGTCTGAGCTCTAGCCAACTATTTAGAGCTGCTGTAAGTAAAGTAAGAATTGCCATGTTGAATATCCCAACCTTCGTTAGAAGATGGAACCTTAAGAAGAAGAAGAACGCTTTTTTTTTCAATAAACGCTAAGGTATTACTTCCACTTTCTTTTTATCATCTGTCACATCTTGTTCCCATTCATTTCCACCATCATCACCTCAATTTGATCTATTTCGCTTTCACTTAGGAATCATGTCCATATTTCCAACAAGCGTTGGAATCAAAGTTGTTTGGCTTTAAAGGACATCTATAAATAAGAAATTGACAAAAACTTACCGATAAAATGTAATAATAAGATGATAAATATTTACCTGTTCTGCAAGTTTCTGCAACAAATAATAGCTACACCGTGTAGTCGCTAACGGACTCTGGCACCGAAAACAACTGTAAGACTCACACAACTGTACCCAGGAATGTAAGAATGTACACTAACACGAGTTTGGTTGATAGGGAGAGGTAACAGAAAGTAGCGATGGAAAAATATCAGTTATTTGTAAATCCCGAATGAATAATTCTGTCGTCGGTGTGTAAGACCGATAGCGACTAACGGAGGGTTAATTAAAGTTTGTAATAAAAACATGCTTTACACAATCAAAATATTTTTAAAACTAAGTGCATTTTTTATAAGTAGGTAACCTTTATTTTGTACTTGGCTCTAGGGTCAAGATGCCAGTTCCAAGGATCAACGTATATAATGGATAGGGTGACCATAATGTACTTTTTTTTAGTAGGACAGTACTTTTTTTTCAAAACGCTGTCCTATTGTACTTTAAAATTTATGAAGTACACCTAAATGTACTTTTTTTCTTAATTACACAAAATTAAGTCCTACTTTTTGTCCAAACAAAATATAATTATGATATCGAATTGATCAAGAATCGATCTTTTGCGGAAGAATCAGAATCTCCTATCTTTAGGAGTCACTTGCGCAGTGTTCCCAAAACGTAAAAAAATAAAATCGTAGAATTCTTTTTAAAAATCGATAGATTGTGGAGTAAAATCGGTAGATCTTTCAAAATATAATATTTTGTTTAAATTTCATAATGTTTTGCAATTCGTTTATTTAAGAAAAAATAAAATATGTTTAACTGACTGAAATTTAAATCTTTATGAGTCTGTGACTAAATAGGAATCGAATACTTATCCGAGAACCGAAACCTCGAGTATAAAACCCTTTAACAAGGAAAATATTATAAAACAAACAGACTACCGAGTTTTTACGTGAGGTGCACTCGGAAGTTTATATTAACTATGCGTTGTTCCGGTTTTTAAGTTTGCTAACTTGACAAATTCCCAGAACCAAGCGGTCAGCATCACAATGGATTTGGATTCATTTAGTATTGTATTTATTAGCTTTTACGATATCATGTACTTTGTAATTGTAAAGTACCGCTTAGGTATCATTTAAGAATAAATATTTTATGTTTTCACACAGTTTTCGTCACGTCATCGTCTAATAGTTTAGTTTATTACCGTATACGCCCATCTCCCTCCCATCACTGGCGATTTCATTTCGCAGCAAGATCTTATATCTTATTCTTATTTCTTTAGTAAAAATATATATCTCGTGGTATGTATTATGTTTATTTGTTACTTATGGCGCTCACTGTTGATTAGTCTATTAACCTTTTTTTCTTAAATTCCGGCAGTTTTTCTCGTTTTTATATTATTTTTGTGTTGTGTGGAAAATAAACAATTTCCATCATGTCACCGCCTAGAAGAAAATGCTATTTTAACGTCGAGTTGCAAGCAGAGTATCCTTTTCATGAAACAAAATCAAATGTTTCACCGCATATTGTGTTTTGCCAAGTTTGTAAAAGTGATGTTGATATTTCTAACAGTGGTCGCAGTAATATCAAACAACATTTGTCAAAGAAAAAACACATGTTGGCTGCTAATGCGAACTCGAAGAGCACAAATTGGAAACCTTTGTTAAAAAAGAAAATTTAAGTTCTGAAAATATGTTGATTGCTGCCAAGAAGGTACTTTTGCTTACCATACAATTAAGCATTTGCAAAGTTTCAGATCCTTAGACTCACATCAAAACTAATTGTAAGCATGTTTGAACCTAAATTTGCGGCAGCTCGAACCAAGACTGAGCGATTGTAAAAAATTTTTAGCTCAAGAGCTCAATCCCAATTAGAAATTGACCTTCGAAAAGCAAATTTCGTCAGCATCACAATCGATTCGTCGAATCATAGAGAAATTAAAGTTGTGCCCTTAATGGTAAGATATTTTGATAAGAAAATGGTGTCCAAGTAAAATTACTTCAGCTACGTGACTTACCTGTAAACATCAGAGCAGTTAAAAGATTACGTGGTCAATGTTTTGAATCACCATAATCTACTACAAAAATGCATCGGAATGTCTGCTGATAATACAAATACAAATTTTGGTGGAATGAGAAGAAAGGGAGTGAACAATCTATTCAGCAAATTAAATGCTTCTCATGTAAACCCGTGATTGGTATTGGTTGTGTGGCACACATTTTTAATAACTGTTTTACAAAATGCGACGGACGTCTTACCCATAGACATCGAGGTTATTGCGGTCAAGATTTTTAAGTATTTTTATATTTTTACAGCCAAGTGGAGAAACTAAAACAGTTTGGCGATTTTGTTGATATCGAGTACAAAAAAATGTTGTCGTTTTCAAAAACAAGATTTTTAAGCCTAATGCCAGCCATTGAAGACGAATTATACAAATGTTCGAACCCTTAAAAGCATATTTTTTATCGATTGATAATTGTCCAACAGTTTCTAAAACAGTTTTTTCAAAACCCACTCAGTGAAGCATGGATGTGGTTTTGTGTATAACATTGCGTCTCTCTTCCACAAAGTGATTTTAATGTAGAAGGTGACAAAATATGCGCAACGAAGCCGCTTGGAGTATTTCGAACTCATAAATAAGCTTCTAATACCGCTTAAAAGTAAGAGAGTCACTTTCAAAACTTAAAATATATGGAAAAACCTTGACCTTAGTGTGAACTATCGGGATATCTTTATCACGCATGTTAAGCAGTTCTATTCAAATTGTGTAACATATTTGAAAAACTGGAGTGAACATTTAAGTGAACTAAAGCTATTTCGGATGGTTAACTTGAAAAAACAAGTTTCTTGGCTGAAATTTTATCGTCGTGTGAAGCTTTTCAAAGACTACATAGGTCCGATATTGAATCAGGACGAACTATTTGATGAAGTTAGTCTAATACGAACCTACGTTACAGAAAATAAAATCGCAGACTGGAATTCGACAAAATATTTCTACCGAAGATCGATGGCTCGAAATCTTCCAAAAAGAAAGTGCTCTGAAAAATCTCAAAATTCTATGTGAGTTTGTTTTTTGTCTGCCTGGACCATTCGTCGATTGAGCGGTTTTTCTCAAATATCATAACTATTGGAGTCTCAACAAATCGCAGTTGGAAAATATCTACTCTGAAGCCATCATGCAAGTCTACAACAAACTTCAAAGTTTCGTGCAATGAAATGTTTCAGTTTTTAAAGAGTAAACCACAACTTCTGAAGGAAATTCATAGTTCCAAAAGTACGACTGGTACCAAAATGATGATCAAAGTTCAGAAGGAACGTCGAAAAAAATTAACTATTAAAATTTATCATTCATTTTTTATGTAGGTACTTATGTTTGAATAAAAAAAAATCGTTCTTATCATTGTTTCATTAAAGGTTCGTAAAATTTTTACCCGAAAAATTTCCTAGACACCTGTACATATTTTCTTAAAAATTATAAATTATAAATGTACTTTTTTTTGTTGAAAAATTATGGTCACCCTAATTATGGACCATTTGACAAAAATTTATTTTGCATTTCTTAAGCTTCTTTGAATACTTATATTAAATAAATTAAAGCCATTCAGATTTTTGATATTCTGAATTAAAAAATTAAAAGCAGAAAATGGTCTATTGTACAGTCGTCTCCTCTATTATTAAAAAAATCCATATTAAAGAAAACTGCAAAGGGAAGCATTTGAAATTATCTATAGTTTAGGAAAATATAATACCCTAGATATGTAATCAATTTTTTATTAAAGGCAAAACACACACAAAATTTTTACAAAAATAAAATCACAATATATTCGTCTTTTCTTATTCCTCATCGCTATCCAAGGTAATCGTCGCTTCTCATTTTCCACTAAAAAGACATTAAAAAGTAATTAAACAGTTATAACGTGCCATAAAACAGTATTTATAAAAATCGCGAAATTCGAAAATTTATTTTCAAAGTACCTATGTTGTCTTTTTGTTTCATCATTTAAAAGATTTATTTGTTTACTACCTTAAATATTAGTAGGTACAGTTGCGGTCACGGAATAGTTTACACCTTATTTTTATATTGTAATACTGTAAAATTGCAGTGTCGTACGGATTTGATAAATGTCAAAGTCAAAAAATTTCAAAACGTCAATGCTTTCGCGAGTGTTCAACAATAAAATAAAAGTATATTAAACTCTTCCAAAATGGTTAGAATACATTTGAATTATGCGCAAAAAGCAAGAGCAATTGCCAAACTCGAAGAAGGTTGGTCACTAAGGCAAGTTGCTGCTGATTTGAACGTGAGTCATATGTGCATATGGAAGATTAAACAAAGATGGGATAATTTTCACTCTATAGCACGGTTGGGCGGTTCAGGAGGGCAGAAGATTTCCACAGATCAACAGGATGAGATGTTAGTAGATTATTTGAGAGAATCTCCTTTTGCCACAGCTCAAAAGGCAAGAGAAGAGGCAGCGTTTTCCAGGCAGTATTCGCACTGCACGTCGAAGAATTAAAGCAAGTGGACTGCTAAATTGTGTAGCTGCACGGAAACCTTTTTGACTGAGGATCACAAGAGGAGACGAGTTGAATTTTGTAATGAATTTATAAACCGCGATGAGAATTTTTGGTCTAGGGTTGTATTTTCCGATGAAAAAGTATTTCAGTCGTATAATAATGGTCGAATAAGAGTTTATAGGCCGAGAAATCATAGGTATGATGAACAGTATACGCATCATTTAAGAAATAGTGGAGGATTCTCTGTCAACGTATGGGGATGGATAAGTGCCGAAGGCCCGGGCGTTTGTTATCATGTAGAGGAGAAGTTAACAGGATTATATTACAAACATATTATTGAGCACACAATGTTGCCATCGGTGATCCAGAGATTCCCCAACAACGACTTTATCTTCCAACATGACAATTGCCCGGTGCATACGAGTAGAATTGTTCGAGAATGGCTAGAAGAAACTGATGTTAATGTTCTTCCGTGGCCTTCCCGTAGTGCAGACTTTAACCCCGTCGAAAATGTGTGGGCAGAGTTAACAAAGAAACTAAATGAAAGAAACCTTAGACCACGGAATAGAATTGAATTATGGGAAGCAATTGAGCAGGCATGGGAAGAGCTTGTTAACTATAACATGAGGGATTGGTGCTATCTATGAACAGAAGACTGCAAAATTGTATTGACAAGAATGGGGCTTCCACCAAATATTAATTATTATTTATCATTGTTTATCGTTATTTAATATAAAATAGATTTAAAATAAAATGCATATTAAAAAAAAGACTTCTTTATTTTCGTTATTAAGATCATAATCCATTTTATTCAAAAAACTGTTTTCTATATTTTTCATTTTGTAAAATATTTTGATATTTTAATTTTAATCTACCTATTCTAGCTAGTACACCACTGGCAACGTCACTTTGACGTAAAAGGTGCGTTTAAAACGAAGTAAAAATTTAAAAAATGGGCTCCTAGATACGTGAACCTGTAAACTATTTCGTGACCGCAACTGTACAACATTTAGGTTTGGTGTTTTTATTTAAAAGTGTGGTACGCTTTTATGTAGTGATAATGATAAGAAAATAAATCGTTTATAATGGAAAAAATTAAGACAGTCAGACTTTACTTAGTTCGAAAAACAAAATTTCAAATTATATAAAATAGTACTTACTAAGCTCCGGCTTTAGCCGATGATGAAGCAGATGCAAAACCACCAGAACTGCCATAACCGCCTCCATGGTGACCACCACCACCACCTCCGTGGTGTCCTCCACCTCCGTTGTGTCCTCCACCTCCGTTATATCCGCCGCCTCCGTTATGACCACCTCCACCATTGTGACCGCCTCCTCCTTGTCCTGCATATTTAAACAATGAAAAAGTCATAAAAGTGTAATTGTATTTTGTATTTCATCCAAAAATATCTATTATTAACTATTATAATAAAACATTAACTATTCACATCCATGAGCCTTTGCAATTCGGGATTCCATTGTTACATGATGTCCCTATTACATCATTTTGAGTTTCGCGTTAAAAGGTATAACCTGTTATTCTTTTAAAATCAATTTTCTCTTAGTGGCTTCGTTTTATAAGTTGTTTAGAAGTTTTAAACTCTATTGTAAAAGTGATTAAGACCATGGATGAAATAATATTGGATTTATTCTCATAGGTTTGAATTCTGGCTAGAGAGCAATCCGTTTTATTCCTTTCTTCATATCAATTAAACTTAAGAATAAAGAATCAATATATCAGGCGTGGTAAACTAAACTTTTTTAAAAGTTAATACTGTGTGCTCCCTTTATCAGGGCCATCATAATTGTCAATCTGATCTGTGCACTGATTTGTCTATTGTTAAACATAAACCTTTCTAGATATTTTCAACTATTTCTGTTATGTGCCTCTGCTATCCAACTGAACGTAATTCATTTCTGGTCATCAGTCCATCGTATTGACGTCTTCCCCTGCTTCGCTTGTATGCTCTTGGTCTTCACCCAAGCAATTTTTTTCCCACCTTTCGTCTCTCCTTCTTGCAACATTTCCCGCCTATGTCCAATTTTGGCCGTTCGGTAATGTCTTTCACTCCGGTTTGTCTGCAACTTCAACGGTTCTTAGTATATTTTTCAGACTTACTCCAAGCATTGATCTCTTCATTTTGTCATCATTGACCATTGAGGCAATCATAGGGAAACTTACTTTCTTTAATTTGGAAATATGTATCAAATCACTTCAGTAAGTATCGTTTGCTAAGTCAATATCATAACAAAAATATATTAAATAAAGAATAACTCGCATTGAAAAATCACAGTATTATTAACCTTCATATTTTATTTTTCATCTAGTCTTTTATTGCGTTATGTTTCTTAGTAAGCATATTGACATTAGTTTTACTGTATACTGAAACTATGTTTTCCTCCTATTATTTTTACATTATCCTGAGATAATTTTTTTTTTGTAGACTCCAGATGTGAAAAAATCTTTGGCCTCTACATCGAAGAATAAATTTTTTTTGGGTATAACCTATATTTTTAACTGATTCAACAAATCTAGGCTTCTCAGAACGTCTTTTCTCAATTTTAAAGCGGTTTTTTATCTGACCAGATTCTAAGTAGACCTGTTGTAAGTATTTATAGCGTTGGCGAACAATTGCTCAACGGTTAGTCTACTATGTCCACTTTGTCTATTTTCAGATATGATATCTGAGTGATATACAGTGAAATTGCTTGTCATTAAGCAGTGTAGGTTTCTGAAGTTCGAAGAGTATTGTTGCGTAATGATTAGAGGGTTCAGTTAAAACTAACTTCCTTTGGTACATTTAACCATTTTATTAACGGATTAACATTCCAAGGGATTTCAATTATGTACTCCATATTGTTAGGATCTCACGTTGATTTGAACTACTTTAAGCTTTTAAACAGTAAAAAAATCGCAAATAATTTTTTCCTTTGCGTATATTTATAATCCATTGTTGACCTTTCTATCTTAAATATAAACTGCAAAGTAGTAACCATAATACATCTTTTGACCAAATATCTTTGATCCAATAGTTAATTACCATTTTTCTGCATATTTTTAATAGCGACGGTAACATATTTTCATAATTTCCCTTTTTTTGCAGACTTTTACATAACTTGGATATGGAAAACGACAAAGCCTTTATACGAAAGGATCAGTACACGAAAGCTTGACTCTTTTCTTCTTTTTGTCCATGTTTGACTAAATTCTAACCAGATAAATTAGGATTCTTACCGCCTCCGCCACCCCATCCACCGCCACCTCCGGCTCCACCTCCTTGTCCACCTCCACCGCCCCATCCAGCTCCACCGCCGCCACCCCATCCTCCACCGCCTCCTTTACCGCCTCCGCCTCCTTGACCGCCGCCGCCGCCCCATCCTGAACCACCTCCGCCACCTTTACCACCTCCTCCTCCTCCACCCCATCCGCCGCCACCTCCGGCGCCACCGCCACCGCCTCCGGGACCATAGCCGCCGCCTTTGTTGTAAGAATTTCTTCTTACTCTAAGGACATTCTGAAATATAAGTAAAAATTATATTAATAGTTAGTGTATCTACTAGTAAATCTAATAGTATCACGATAACTTAAGAAAAATCCAACCTGCCCGCAGAACAATGGTCAGGGTTACCTAATGCCTTCCTCTCTTTTTGAACACATACACTACACACACGCAGAAAAATGCCAAGCATGTTTTATTCTGTTCTGTACAAAGACGGCAATCCCATGTCATAGCAATCAGAGATGTTATGGAGCTTGCCTACTTCCTTTCCATCCAAAGATTATTTATTTCTCTAAAAGAATAAGCCTTGTTGCTTGCGTTTTCTCTTGGTATGCTATGTTCAATCGACTTCAATTGCTCGTTCTTTTTGGTATGCAACTCGTATTTGTCACTGCATAGATTTATTCTATGCCTAAACAACTACCGTCCTATTTTCGCTTTTGTCACAACTATATTAAACTTTCACAAGAATAATAAAACAACCGACTAACCTATAAACTGATAACTACCAACCAGTGAAACAGGCCATTCAGGAAAGGATCCAGCACAATCGAACCATATACATGCGCTTAAAATCTTAATTGAGAAAACTAATGACTACAACCTTCCGCTGTACTTAGCATTCATAAATTATGAAAAGGCTTTACGACAGCATTGAACACTGGCGGTTGAAGAAGCTCTGGTCAATTAGTAGAATAGATTCAAGATAGCGACAATTGATACATGAATATTTACCAAAACACAACCATGACCGTTATTCTGGACGACAAATTAATAACGAATAATGTAAAAGTTAAACGAGGAGTCCAAACGATACAAGGCGATATAATTTCACCTAAACTGTTTACCTTGACCCCCAAGACATAAAAAAAGCAACAGATTGGGAAAACAGAGAATATGTATTAACGGAAAATACCTAAATCACCTTAGATATGCAGATGATATACTCCTGATCTCCTCGAACGACAAGAACTGGAATTAATGCTGAATGAACTTCATGAAAAAATCACTGCAAAAAGGCCTAAAAATTAACTCAACAAAACAAAAGTAATGACAAACACGAAGACCAAGAGGCAATAAAAATACAAACAGAAACAATAAGAACAGTAAATGAGTATATCTATCTAGGACAAGCATCAGAGCTAACAGAGAAAATCAAACAGCTGAAATATCGAGCGAGTAAGAATGGGAGGGCAGCGTTTGGCAAACTTTCTTACGTTCTAAAAAATCAAACAATCCCTCTTTACTTACGAAGCAAGGTATATAACTCGTGTATAATAACGGTGCTTACCTACGGAGCACAGACATGGACATTTACACAGGCCAAATTTGGATAGGATAAGAAGGCACAAAGACGATGGAGAGACAAATGTTGGGTGTATCACTTAAAGATAGAAAACGTAACCAGTGGATCAGAACCAGAACAAAGACAGTAGACGCGATAGAACAAGCAGCAAAACTGAAATGAAATGAGTTGGACACAATGAACGTCTCCAAGACAGACGATGTAAACTAATCCATCGGAAAGTGGCTTCCATACAATGCAAAGAGATCAAGAGGCAGACCACAGATGAGTGTGAAAGATGGCATCAGAAACAAGAGGTTCCACAATGGCAGAGAACAGCTTAAGATAGGGAAAGATGGAGAGAACTGGGGAGACCCTATATCCAACAATGAAAGGATAGAGTAATAGGTTCAAAAAAAAAGATTTTTTTCTAGAGCCAAAACAGATTAGCAAAAAGAAACAAACTAAACAATAATAACCTAAAAAGTCCACTGACACGTTAGTAAAAGTAGGAAGGAAACAAAGTCTTTCCTAGGACAACGAAAAAGATAAACTGCAGAATATAAAGTAGTAAACCAAAACATAGAGGACAAAAGTAAAGAAACAAAAAATCGGAAGAAAAAAGAAAAAAAATTAGAAAGCAATATAACAAAATAAAAACATGAAATGCTTAAAACCACAACTAAGAAAAATACAGATGAATAGTATAAAACAAAATTATGGGACATAAGAAACAAAACAAAGGTGTCATACAAATATCATAATAATATTACTCGAATCTTAATGATTACAAAGAAAAACCATCAGATAAAATCCTTGAAATCCGGAAATCAGCAACCTTGAAACTGAAAAAGCGCTAAAAGAAATGAAGAATAATAACACACATGGTAAAGAAGTATTGTGGATATGTTAAATAATGGAGAATAAAATAGCGTCTGAGCTTTTCTTCATTTGCTTTGGTCATGGTACACGTTTTGCATCCGTATGTTATTACAGGTCTGACGATGGATTTATAGATTTTGATCTTTGAACTTCTTTTAGGATTTTTTGATTTTATGAGCTTATCCAGTGCGAATAGATAGCGGTTTGCAGACTGGATTCTGTCTTTTATTTCTTCAGTACTATCGTTCTCAGCTGAGATTACGGTCTCCAGATACTTCAAACGTTGTACTCTTTTGAAATTGAAGGTGTTGACCGTCACATTTTTTTCGTTTTCTGTTTCTTCGTGTCGTTCTATTTATACACATATATTTCGTCTTCTCTTCATTAATCTTCACGCCCTACTTTACTTGTTGCTCCTTCCACCTGTTGAAGATGTCTTTCGTGGATAAAGTCTCCAATGAGATCTATGTCATATATAGCCCTGCTATACATTTTGTTAAAAACCACCAGTTTTGTTTTTATTTAATTAGATGGCTTTGGTAAAGACCAATTGAGGCGCTTCCGTGGACAAACTAACGAATACGCCAAATGGCATTTTGAGAAAAACGCGATTAAAGTTGAAAAAGTTTTTCAATTAAATAAGGGCGGATTTACACGTCATCCAAAATTTTGTAATGCCGGTAGGTAAAAACTATTTTTTTTATAAAAAGTTTTGCTTGTTAAGCAAATAAGATCACCCCATCTAAACCAAAAATTATAAATCAGGATATTGAAAAAAGTTTTATATCAAAGGATATGATATGAAAAAACACTTTTTTAATTAAAAATTGTTCTGTTTAAGATAAATCAAAAACTAAAAAAACACCAAACAATAAAATTATTAATTGAAGCAAAAATCTATAACATCATCCTGACTTTCTCCAGTTAGCGTTGCCAAATTGGTTTGTGATTCTTGGAGAGAAGATCAGCTCATTAAAGAAACTCCTATGATGAAGCGGTATGTATGAAGAAGTGACTTGATGTCTTTATTTTTTCCTCTGAAAGTTTTATAGGCTGTTGGTATTTAGGAGACAAAACTGCGGCAGATAAATCAAACAAATGCGTTGATATTCTCCTACTTTTCCTTTCTGCAAAACAACTTGTTCGGACAAAACATTTGGTACGTTGGTTGTATGGAAAACCCTTGTTTGAACAACTGTAGTATGGAATACTTTACCATCTTTAAAACTAGCAGTTGATTTTCTTTTTGTAATTAACTTCTGAAGAGCAGTGAAATCAAAAAAACATTGATGATTCATTTTTACTACTTGAATGGTCTGACCTTCCTTGATGAACGAATTAAGTCAATATAGTGGTCTTCAGAATAAACATCAATATTTCGAAGACTTAACTCAATGTGACCAAAATCCCTGTCACAAGGTAAATATGAATGTCCCAGGAATCATAAAGTAATGTTCAATGAAATCAAATTTTAATTCATGAATTTTTTCAAACAAGCTAAAACAATGTTCATAATTTTTGTTCTGGCCGCCACAATTGTCACTAAATAGCACAACTTTTTTGACTTGATGATCCATAAAATCAAAGTAATGGGACAAGCAGCTTGCTATTTCCCATGAACCACGACCTCCAGTACTTTCATTCCACATGTACATAACACATTTTCCAGATTTAACATCATGGGCTGCAAAATTGTAGGTCCAAAGCTTCCTTTTGTAATACTGTACAGATGTCGTCAGTTTAGGGTAGGGAGAGTTTGCTGCAGATCTATACAAATTGCTGAAACTGAGTCTTCATTATTACTTTTATAACTTTTAAGTATTTTTTTGAACTGCTTTGGCTCGTCTTAAATGAAGTTTCCTTGGCAACTTGTAATTGGTTACATTGTAAATCATCACAATTTGAAAGTTCCATATCTGTTTTGTCACAAAAATTACAATATCCGACTTAGGAGGGTTTGAAACCAATATTTAATTTTTTATTAAATGTGTCACGATAGAACCCGTGACTTACAGGTTCAAATTAAAGGTGATTTTAATGTCATCCACTCACATAGCAGGTCATACAACTTGTTTATGTTTAAGTCTGTGGAAAGTTACTTTCGGTAAGGGCTTTTTGCTCTGCCGTAATGGCTTGAACATTTGGGGTAAACTATTTACATGTAACATTACAGTTTCTTTCATTTCTACACTTACTTTGTTAACTGGATTTTATTATTTCCTCTTCTGTCCAATTCTACAGTGCCACTGTGTGGATACTTTATTCAAACAGTTCGGAACCCCTATTTTCAGTGACACCATGAATCGCATAGAATGCTTTATCTGCAGACTTTAAATTCATTGCTTTCAAAAAGTACAACTGTACTCAATACTACGTAACTTTCCGACTTAATCGATTTTTAATGCGACAACGGTTGACAGAAACAGATATTTCACTCTTTTAGATAAGTAAGTGTTTTGTAGGTTATACTCAGATAAATTCCCAAAAATTATACAAACCTACTTTCTCAAAACATCCACAGGAACATGGACTTTCCCACACACCGCTTAGGCACAAGTTATTCTGTTTATTAATGGTGCTGTATTCTTCACCTGAGTTTTCTTTTAACTTTATTCACATTCTTTTGCCACGTGTCCTTCATTTTTCGACCTTTTTCTAGTGTAGCCTTTGTTTTGGTCTTCTGTAAACCGCTTTCTGACATTGTAGCAGTAAAATTTTAACATTATTAGTAAAGTAAACTCAAACTATTCAAACTTATTAAAATAAAAACTACTTGTTTTGACAAGCAAAACGACCACTGGTAGCTTAAAACGGTAAAAAATAAGACGGAAATCACGGAAATTTTATCAGAAATTTGGGGGACAGAAGTGGAGGGCTACGGTACCGACGTAGCGCGTATTCGCGTTGTCCAACTTTACCAACTTTTAAGATTCATACAGTTCTTCCGTATCAACCTAATTAATCTGAATAGAAGGACGAATAAACCATGTTATGGTGGTACATTGTTCGAATAATGATCAGGCTATCCATTGCATTTAAAAAAAACTGTAAACTGGCGTATTCGCCCTTTCTCCTCGGAGCGCCTCAATTAGCCAGAAAACCACCATTTAACCGACGAAGTTTTTTGGGCAGTCCAGCACATTTAAGTTTGTATACAACCACTGTGTAATCGCTTTGGTCTCTTTTGTTTCTTCATATATTTGCCTTAGTTGATGTTTGTTCTAAAAGCTGGTGTTATTGCTTTTTTTATGTATTTGGTTATTTTTCTTGATATCTTGCCTGCATATATAGTCGAGCAGAAAATACTGGGTACCGATCTATCACTTATTGTACATTCTAATAACTAATATCACAGAAAAACCGGTACTTAAAAGCGAGAACGAAACAGTGACTATTATTATTTAGAAAAGGGAGCAGAAAAGAATTAAAAAACTACAGATCCATAACCCTACTAAATGTTATGTATAAACTACAAATTAAAATTTTAACAACGAGGTTAACTTCAAATAAGAAAACTAACAGTCACAGGACCAAGATGGATTTAAAAACGGGTTCAGTAAAGAGGAATATTCTTATCATATCAAAATTTTCAGACGTTGGTGATCTCTATTGAAAAGGATTCTCGATCTTCTGTCACAGGAATTTTGATCTGCATTGGATATCTGAGTCTATTCGCGACGTTTTTTAACTAAAAAACCTGTTTTCTTCCTACATCTTTACAGTCCATTCTATTATACCTTAAAGACTTAGTTGTAATATTCTATATCGATTTCCTCTCATGTCCCAGATAAATTCCGGTCTTTACAATTCTCTATCTTTTCTGACCCTCCTTAGTACATGCTCTTAAGTTTTTCTTAATATCCGTGTATCCACGTTTCCTGATCTGAATACTTGATACTTTTAGTGTCCATATTTCTATTTAGTGCCTTTATGAGTGTTGTGTTTCTAAGTGTCTTTAACGTGATGCCAAATAAACAAATACAGCACTTAACCATTCTTTGTCTTAGTTCTAAACTGAAATGATTATTGCAAATAAATGTCTTTATTTTCATAATATTAGATTTTGTTAATATTGTCGTTAATATTCTGGGTTTTATTTCTATATCTGAATCTATTGAACACAAATTGATGATGACATGTAGTTCCCAAATATGTAATTTTGTGAACTTTTCAACTTGGACTCAATTTAAGTTGAAGCTTTGAAGCAAAAGAATATCACGCTTTATATTGTCTTACATAAATTCTGATAACAAGGAAAATAGGATTAAAGACAAACTGTGATAAAAGTAAAAAGATGACCAACCAAAACGAAGACATAAATATTACAGTAGAATACACAAACTTAGAACAATTCGATGAATATGTACACTACTTTAGGCATATCACAAAACTAAACAAAGAAAATCAGAAAGAGGAGATTAAAGTAAGGGGCCCATTGGCTTGGATATCATTGACCAAAAAACGAGATTTAGGTCCTGGTACTACCTTACTACCATACGACTACCACGTTTGCACCTACCGCTAACCTCCATTGAGGTCGGCACTTGAAGAAGAAGAGTGTACTACAGTTCTCACAAACGACTATCAAATCTAGACATTTACTGAGGATCATATAGAAAAAAAAAGAATAACGCATAGTTTCAAAAACATTAGGCTGTCAGATAGAAAAAAAAGAAGCAGTTGTATCATAGTAGAACCAAATTAATAAGATCACAAAAGTACCACAAGTTAAATTAAAATTTCTCGGGCATACTCTAATATAGAAGGATAATCGATGGACAAAAACCATTATATATTGGAGACCGTCGAATTCTGAACATCAAAGATAAATACCAGAACTTTTTGTCAAATGACATAAAAGAACGTGCTGAACCCAGTTGGTTTTCAAGTGACGCAAGATAGAGAACTCTGGAAAATGAGGGAAGGCTTTTGTTCAAAGATGGATGTTTTTGGCTTACTACATGAATACATAGATAGAGTAGAGGATTTAGATTAGTATATGAATAGATGCAAGTATATTAATAACTGTTCCTTTAAGTATTCTCAACATTAAAATATATAAAGATAATCAGATAACTATCCCAAACTATCCAGAAGGCATAAGAAATAAAAAAAGGGGAGAAATTCTTGACTCAAAAGAAAATTACCTAGCAGTTAATTAGAATACAGAAGATTAAAGTAAATATTGGAAGACTCTGATATGTACACTATTTGGTATATAATGTATAATAGTAATGATTTTTTCAAATCACTGCAATAAACTTGAAAACTAAAAACTAATAAAAATTTTGAAAATTAACCTCTCGAGCTCTGCTGTTTGGATCGCTGCCACAAGGCATAACGACACAATTGCAACCACCACAAACCACTTCATGTTTGTCTGATGCAATGTGGATTCTCAGTCTATTTATACCTAATCATCTCTTTTTTGCAAAGGTTTAATATAATGACGTAACCATCGTATTAAGCTGAAGAAAAAATTTATGTATTGT